TTAAGTATTTCCAGAAAAAAAACAGAGGCCATAGTAAGAGCAATGAGGACAAAGGCAAAACAGATCCTCTAGCAGTATCATTTGTACTGCAAATGTATCTAATGCTTAGATGAGTGATGCAAGAGACTCACTGAATGTGCGTCTGAGATTTGTATCATCTGGATACATCAACATAGTTGTTTAATGAAATCAAACTCCCCAGCCTGCAGCCCTATTTTTATGTCCTAATTTTTTACATTTACCTTGGGGAAAATATCTGATGATGAGAACCCATGTTTGGTAGTGGTAATGAATCAAGGATAAACATTTTAAGCCCAGACACTTCAAAATATATGGCCATAGCCTTCATATAAAATACACCACAAGAAAATCACCCCTAAAAGATGTTTTGGATTAATGATATGGCTGCAGGGTTTGAGGCTGCTGTTCTGCAATCAAAGCCTCTATCAAACCATCATGGGCTGATCAACGTGCAACGTGCAGAGCTGCACGATCTCTCAAACCAGGGAAATTGGAGCAGTCATGGAACCAACTTCATAAGTTCTCTTAAGAGCCTTGTGTTTAAAGACAGCCTTTGTATAGGAATGGATATTTTTTTGGGTGGGTAGAGTCTTTTTTTTTCTGCTTCCATAGGTCACAGTAAGGATGGCCACTGAACATGGCAACAACTCATGAGTGGGAGCAGATGGACTTTGGGCTCCTTTATCCATTTTGGGAGAGAATATTTTTTTGAAAAACACAAGATAATTTTAAAGCAGGGATCCTCAAACTTGGCCACTTTAAGACTTGTGGACTTCAACTCCCAGGATTCCCCAGCCAGCCATGCTGGCTGGGGAATCCTGGGAGCTGAAGTCCACAAGTCTTAAAGTGGCCAAGTTTGAGGACCCCTGCTTCAAAGTATGGGACTTAATAGGTATTTTCAAATCTATTTTTTAAAAATCTATTTTTTAAAATAATGCTACTAAAAATGGCTATTTTGTTCCTAAATCTCAGTAGCATGGGGGCTGAGGTTAGATGCAACTTCGGATCTAGGTAGGAGCTGCCAATTTAATGAAGGATTCTGGGAGTTCAATTTTGACTTGAAAGAGAAAGGAACAAAAGAAGGAGTACTGCTCAGGGATCTTGAATTAGCCCAAGCATTCAGACCAGCCAGTTGAATTATATACAACACATCTCACAATCTTGTTGCAAAGAATTGTGGCAAACGTATATATCAATAATATTAATCTCTAAATATGTGTTTATACATATACTTTTCATTGGTAATGAATTTCCCATTTTGTCCATGTGTACATAGATCAGTGATGGCGAACCTTTTAGAGACTGAGTGCCCCCAAAATGGCCCTGCCCCTGCTCCGCCCCCATTCCCCGCCCCACCTGCCCACAGGACCACTCACCACCTCCAGGGCCCGCCGCAGATCGCCCAGGCAGCCCAGCAGTGCTATGGCAGCCACACCCTCTGCCTGCACCGTACAGCATCAACTGCGTGATGGGGTGTGAGGGCAGAGTCTTGTCTACACTGCCTGGCTGCCATGTCCTTGGCTGCACTGCTCTGTGTAGGCCACTCTTGAAGACGACTCTCCTTCAGGGGAGCTGCTGGAGAGGAGGGGGTCGTGGGGGGAGGCAAGGCTAGGGCAACGGCACATGTGCCCACAGAGAGGGCTCTGAGTGCTGCCTCTGGCACTCATGCCATAGGTTCGCCACCACTGACATAGATGCTCTTACGGACTCTACTCTGAAAAGGCCCCTTGTAGCATTTGGATGATACTAATTATTGCTCCTTTGATAGGCAGAGGGCGTTTAACTTCCACTGATTGATTATGTGCCATCAAGTTGGTGTCAATTTTCAGTGATCACTTAGATCAGTGGTTCTCAACCTGTGGGTCGGGACCCCATTTGGGGTCGAACGACCATTTCACAGGGGTCGCCAAACAATGCAGTCTGCCATTTTTTCTCCCTTTTCCTTAGCTGTGCTACTCCCTTTTATTCTATTGGCTTTTGAAAGCCAATAGAATAGACTCTATTAGAGTCTAATTCTATTGGCTTTCAAAAGCCAATAGGAATTGTCCAGGCTGTCTCTGCTCTGCTGAGCCCGCCAAAAGCCCCATTCTGCAAACAGTGCTGCACCAGTTGAGTAGTCCTCGACTTACGATCAGTTGAGTAGTCCTTGACTTACAACCAGTTGGGGGTCGCGGCGTTAAAAAGATTGAGAACCACTGACTTAGATAGATTTTCTCCAGGATGATCAGTTTCCAAGCTGGTCCTTCCAGTCTTCCAACAGTGAATCTGTTGCTACTGTTATTGAGTCAACTTTAATTGAGTCAACTTTCCCTTCTCTTTCTTTTTGCCTTCCTCCAGAGAACTAGGCCTTTACATAACATAGCATGATAGTTTCAGCCTGGTCATTTGCGCCTCAAGTAAAATCTCTCATTTCTTGGGAAGTCTGAGTCTCTGGCTGCTTGCACTTGTTACCATTAGCTTGCTCTACTAGAGATGGCCCTCGACTTACAACAGTTTGTTTAGTGACCGTTCAAAGTTACATCATTGAAAAAAATGACTTAGGACCATTTTTCACACTGTTGCAGCATCCCCATGCCCACATGATCAAAATTCAGACACTTAGCAACTGACTCACCTTTAGGATGGTTGCAGTGTCCCAGGATCAAGTGATCAACTTTGGCAGTCTTCTGACAAGCAAAGCCAATGGGGAAGCCAGATTCACTTAACAACTGTGTCGCTAACATAACTGCAGTGATTCACTTAACAACTTTGGCAAGAAAGGTTGTAAAATGGGGCTAAATTTACTTAACAAATGTCTCATTTAGCAACAGAAATTTTGGGCTCAATTGTGGTCGTACGTAGAGGACTACCTGTACATATTTACTCTTAGTCCTATTGTTTTACTGTATTCCTTGACTTTTATTACTAGAGCTAGCAGATCATTTCCATTTTCAACTATCAAAGTTGTCTCATTAGCAGAGTGCAGGTTATTGATGTTTCTTCCCCCAATTTAAAACCACACTTGTCTTGCTCTAATCCAGTTTCCCTAAATATATATTTAGCATTAGGCTGAATAAATAAGGGGCAAGTATACAGCCTTGTCTCATTCCTTTGCTGATGAAATAGCCAGTCTATTTCATCAGGTGCCGTGGCTTCCCAACCTGTTTACTGTTAAGTTTCATGTGAGGACAAGGAGATCTTTTGGAGTTCTGATTCTCCTAAGCACATTCAACAGCTTGATACGGCTGACACAGTCAAAGGGCTTTCTATAATCAATGAACCCAATGTATGGGTATATTGAATATTCTTTGTCTTTCTAGTTTGCAACAGCAATACAAGTGAATGAGCATTAGATTTTTACAGTTTTAGCTGTGGAAAGATGGAAACTATTACTGTACAGCAAGATAGGGAACCATGTCTTGCACAATAGAGAGGCTGATCAATGCACTAATTATTGATCCACATCAAGGGTGCCTCTTTAGGTTTCAGAAAAAATAACTTTGGCAATAACTGATGTGGACACTGATGTAGACATTGTGGAGTCAGGGATAAAGGCACCCAAACTCTGAATCATTGAGAGGTGGGCTGCATAGTAAGCTAGTAAGGAGTCTGGAGACAGAATCATATAATGAATGCCTAAGGGAACTAGGTATGTGAAGAAAAAGCTTAAGGGTGACAAAAGGATAACCATCTGTCCAGGATGAAATAAGGACTCCTGCCTTGGGCTGAGGGTTGGATTAGAAGACCTCCAAGTTCTCTTCTAGCCCTATGAGTCTAAGTTTAATAAATTATTATTTTAAGGCATAATTGTGCAGGACCTGAAACAATCAAAATGCAGGGGCAATCCACTTACATCAGAACTAGTCTTTCATGCATTCAAACTATTGCTGTTACAGTTACCATACATGCAAATTGCACTGAAGTCAAAATTTGATTCTATAAATCTTGTGCATTGCCCTCTGAATACTTGACACTGGAATACTGTATTGCTTTGAAATCTGTTTATTTTTTCATCTCTCTCTCTGTCTCTCCCCCTCCCCCTCCCTCCCTCCCTCCCTCCTAGAGAGAAAATAGTGGGAAACCACTTCTCAAAATCTGGACAAGAAAGCTTGTCAAAACTGGTTTGAAAACTCCCCTAAATAATAAAAATAACACCAAAAAAGAATAGCATCAGCCTATCCCAGGTCCTTAGGTAGGATTCAATAGATGGACAAAAATGTCAAATCCAATTTCAACAACTGGCTGAGTCTGTGACCAACTATAATAATAACGAAGACCCTGAAAGTTCAGTAGCTGTTTAAAATAATTCTAACTTGTTCAAATAAGGCTGCTGGAAATATTAACATCTTTGATGGATGCAGGGCCAGAGCAGTGCCAGGAGTTTACAAAAAGTTTGTATACATTGTATTTTTTTGAAGTAACCTAATGTTGAACAAAATTGCAGAACTGCACGATCATGGAAGGGATTATTTTAAAAAAGAAATACTTAATGTATTTCATAAGACCAAGGGCGGCCGCTAAGAAGAATTGACCCTGGCCACCAATTCTGGGCCCAGCTGTGATGGGGCGATTCTCCTATCCAACGCCTCGCCCCTCCATTTGTTGCTTCGGCCAGCGCTGGAGGGTAGTATAGGCTGCGGTAAAAGGCTGCGCTACATCAAGCAGCAGGCGTGAAAAGCAGTGGCCGGGCTGATCCCACACAGCAGCGGGCTTTTGGCCAGCGATCGTGTCCTGTGTCGTCTCGCCTTCTCCTCATCTCACCCCGGAGGGAGGCGATCGATCGGGCACCCCTGCTCGGGATGCGGTGGTCTAGTCCCGCCCGCAGTTGCTGTTGGCTTTATCTGAGGCAGCAGAGGGCGCTGTATGCCGAGCAGAGGGGTGGGTTTAGGGGCGGAGGGCCGTGTATGAGGTAATGGTGGGAGGAGCGAAAGGAAGGAGCGCAAGACGCCGCGGTCTTGGGGTTGCTGCTCGTGCTGCGGCTCCTCTTCCCACAATCCTTGCAAAAGGCAGGGAAGTTGTTGTAACGGCGGGCGAGGTTACAAGAGGCAGGAATCTGGCGCTCGGGCTGCGTGCAATGGCTTATTGTTTCTCAGCTGAGGGCAAGGGGCAATGCGCAGGGTGGAGATTTGCATTTCTCCCGCTGTGTCGAGAAAGCCCCACTGGCCCAGGGTCCTTATAGAAAGAAGACGGCATAAAAGCAACAGGGAGGTGGAGCTGGAGCGAGTGCTGCATCTGCTACCCGGAGAAAGGGGAGGGGGGGACCCAGAAATTAGAGCATGAAATTCCTAGGAGGGCTTGTCCAAAAGATCCCCTCGTGCAAATGCAGAGAAGGGAAGGGAAAGCAGAGTAGGAGAAGATGCAACTGGTGTAACTGAGTCATCTTCTGCCGTAGCAAGAGCCACATTTCCCTTCCGAGACACTTTACGGAGCAGATGACGGAACCTGCTTTTCCAGCTTGTTGACTGGAAGGCTTTTCTTGTTAGTTTTTAAACGCACGCATTTCCCAGGCGATGAGGCAAGACTACCGAATTTGCTTGGGAAATATGAAAGCTTCGGAAGGCGTTTTAAGTCTCTTTCCATGAAACAGTACCCAAAAGACTTGAGCCTTTTTTTGTTTTTGTTTTTAACCCGACAAGCTCCAAAATACTAGCCGCACAAAAGCGGGTGGGAGAAAGAAAGAATTCAAAAGAAGAACATTTGGAACCGGTCCAAGGAGGGAGCGAGCGAGCAGCCAGCCAGCCAGCCCGTAGGCGTGACGTTGCAGAGTTTAAAGGGGGCAGATGAGATCTATCGGAGGTTGATCCGACGGAGAGGCTGCCGGAGGTGCCTGGGATTCGGAGCCTCTCCGGGAAGAGACTGCTAAAGAGCAAAGGCAAAGAAATAATGCTGCTGGCTTCGGCTGTGGTGGTTTGGGAATGGCTGAACGAGCACGGTCGCTGGAGACCCTACAGTCCGGCCGTGAGCCACCACATCGAGGCGGTGATCAGAGCCGGGCCGAGAGTTGGGGGCAGCGTCGTTCTGGGCCAGGTGGACAATAGGCTCTCGCCGTATATCATCGATCTCCAGTCCATGCACCAGTTCCGCCAAGACACGGGTGAGTTTGACCCCGCATCTTCCCAGCCAGCGCCACCTCGACCCCCTTGCTGAGATTTTGTCCTTTTCCTGGCCGGAGCCATCTCCCTTCTCCATGTCCCTTCTGATCGGCGTATTTTAAAAGAGGGGCGTATTTTCATGTGGAGGCTTGGTGCGGTTTTTTGTGTTTTTTTTTTTAACGAGACATATCAAAAGTGCGCTGGGATTAAGTTTCATTGCGATTGCACACAGCCCATTATATTAAAGGTTGGTATTTGGGACAGCTCTGTTAGGCAGCGGGGGTAATGAGATGGAGACAGGGCAGAGGGAGATTTATGCGAATATTTGAAATTTGCCAATTCTAGAAAAGGACTTGGAGGTGGAATAGGGCGCAGCTGTCATACTGTGCTACAAGCTTCCAAATCCTACTGCCATTGTCAAAAAAAAGAGAGGGCTTCACAAGATGAGCTTCGTTGGGAGGAAAAAACAAATAGTTTTCTGAGAATTTGCCTTTCCGATTCTTTATGCTGGGCAAACCCTGTCTCTGCTTAATAGTGGTGCCTGTTGTAGCCCGTATAAGTTCAGAAAACCCTGTTCTGCAGTGAAGATGCCTACCGGTGTGCCTTGTAAAGGTGTGTGAGCAACCGTGTACTTCGCTTACAAAGAGCCAAATACACAAATATGAAACCTCAAAGGCTAGTGAGGAAAAAAGTAGCTGGAACCAATGCTTTTTTGGAACTTGTACTACGGAATAAATCTGGATAGAATTGGGCTGTGTGTGTGTCTCATGCCTTAAGACAAAAATACAGCTGTGTGTATACTACATATGCCAGGAGGGGAGCATGCAAAAAACTTGATAAATAACATGAAGCATTATGTAATGCAGTGTGATTTTGTAAAAAAAAATCAAGCAGCCAGTCAAACTTGCAGTTTAAATAATGACTCCTGATCACATTTTGGGGAATATTGCATAAATATGAATGAAAAGCTTTTATGATTTGATTTTTAATTTATTAGCTGATCTGGAGTAACATTAACATACTGTTGAAACTGTAACCATTTGGCTCAAAGGCAGGACCAACAAGTAGCTTACCTAGAAAGGTTAAGAATAAAGACGGTTAAAAGGTTGTTATGGAAGAGCAACAGATCAAGATGATACTATTCTGAATGCCTATCATTAAAGGTCCTAATCTTTCTTCTCCCTGAAACTTTGTAGAAACTGAGGGAGGGGAGGGGACTTATTTTTGTGGTTGGTGTGAGTTACAGGTAGGTTTTTTTTCTAGCAGCATTGTTGATTCATAACTAGACCTATATACTGATGTCAAGGACTCATGGAAACCATCATGTAGAAGAAAAATGGTCTGCCAGCCGAGAAAACCAAAACAAAACATTAGGCTAAAAAAACCAGTAAGAACTATTTGTATGATATTGTAAAAATCATGCCAGGAGCTGTAGCTGAAGGTCTGGCGACTGATGGAGGTGGGTGGTGCTTCATTGCTGCCTCCTCCCCCCCATCCCCCACCTGCCCTTTCTTTCCCTGCCTTTTAGTTAGTATCTGGACTAAGCAGTTTGCCAAGAGCTGAATGGCTCTTGGCAACGATCCCGTCAGTGAAGCAGTTGCAGTCTCACGGCTAGATTGAGAACCGGGCGTAGGTGTGCAGCTGTCTTTGCTGACAATGAGGAAACACCCTGGGAAAACCATCAGCCTCCTTAGCTGGGAATCCCGTTTGCTCCTGCAAGTGAGCTCATGTGAAGAAGGGAAGTAGCTATTGGTTCAGGAGAGGAGATGGGAGGAGATAGCAGGTGAATCAGACCATCCCGTGCACTAGAAGAAGCCTCCCGCTACAGTATATGGTGCAGCTGGCTGCTTGTGGAATAGGCTGGTCCTGGGTGAGAGGAGATGAAAGAGAAGAGCTGCATGAAAGCTTGGCGTGCAAACAGGATGACTTCAAGGGAGGAGTCAGAAACCTGACAGAGGTAGACAAAGCAGATGAAAGGTGCACCAGAGCTACTTTTTGATGCCCATTTCAGTGGAAAGGCTGGAAATATTAATTAGTGCTTTCTGAGATAGTATTAAAAAGAATAAACAAGATGTAAATAATAGTTTCTCAGATGTTTGGTCTGAACACAACGCCCCTGATCTCTACACACACTGACAACAAACAATACCAGTTCGATTGGACTAACACGAAAATCATCGGCCACACTACCACTCATCACTCTTGTGAGTTCATCGAAGCCTGGCACTCCACAAGCAGCTCCATCAACAGACACATCGACCTACAACCAGCCTACAAACCCCTCAGAATCCAAATCAACCACACAGCCAACCAGAGACAGCATCGATCCTCAATCAACCCACGCCAGCCCCCCTCTTCTCCCACCAGCAGTTCACCTCCCAATGACCCTGGCCTGATGTAACCTCCCCATCACAAGACCCATTACAAGATTCTCTCTGATGACTCACACCTGACCCATCACAAGACCTTCATTTGACACACCCACACCTGAAGCCCTTGTAAACAGAAGAGCACTGACAGAGACATCCCCTAAAACTTCATCCTCACAACACCCCTGAGTCTGGCCTGTAAAGCTGAAGTGCACTATTTGACCAGTCCCTGAGAAGTATAAGTGTGTTTTGTTGTGTCTTTGTTTACAGTAAATGATTCTTTTAAATGTCACCAGAGCAGATTTTGTTTCCATATAATGGGAGTCAAAGAGGTGTGTGTAGATGAAACCCTAGCACAATCATAATCTTTATGAAACACAGCAGTGTGACTATTAACTACAGCTGGTGGAAAAATACGTGGGAGAGGCATTTTGTCTGTACTTGTAGGATGAGCAAGATTTGTGCTAAGTCTTGAGTTTGTCCACAGTGAGCCTCACTTATGCTATGAAGTTATTCTGATCAGATAACTTTTTCCAACTGCTCTGAATATTTGTGGTCAGTCCTGGGCCTCATATCACTGATCAGTTGAATACAGAAAACTGATTGGTTGCATGATAGTCTTTCCTATCCTTTGATCATTAGGACAGGATTCTTTCTTTTCTCTCTTGTTTCACTGCCATGGGAGGGAGTTAGATCTCCTCAATTCCATTCATACACAATACTGTAAATTGACTGTTGTGAGATGTATTCTGCCTAGTGTGCAGGCCCTTCGCCAAGAAAGCCAGATTTCTTTCTCTGAAGATGATATAGTTCTCCATATATTTCTTCTCTACCTCATATGATTAGACTGTGAGTAGGAACAATCTTTAGCAGTTGTCCAGGTCTGCTGACTGAGCCTTTTTGTACTTGGATGTAAGAACCAGGCTACACATTGAATCTTCAACTGCTGTAAAGATACGTTGGGAGGCCTTTCCTCTGCAGACCAATTCCAGTTCAGTTACAGATGAATGTGACAGCTTCACAAACCCAAAGTAGGGTGTGAGGTTTTTCCACCATACATCCCTCTTATAGTTAATGGTAGCTTGATAGCTTATCCCAAAATTGGTGCTTATATTCCTGTTAATCATATACCTCCCTATCTAATACATTCCATGGTTGGAATGTTGTAACAAAGGTGAATTAATATAAATTCTCAGTGTGATTCATTATCAACTCTACAAGTGCAACCCTTGTGCTCAGCCACATTGTGAGAGACTAACAGCCTTCTTACTGCCTTTCAAAAGTTCATTTTGTTTAACTCATGTCTTGGCAAATTCAGTTGGAGGCGGTGAAGTGGGGAATGCAAAACTAAATAGGACCAAGGACCAAGGAACAATTAGGGTGAGCCACAGAAGTCTTTTAAGCAACTAATGAGACAAATGGATCTCTAGATGAGTTAAAGTTAATGGTGCATTAAAGAAAGACAGTAAAATTGCACAGCCTTGAATAAATTCCTTGCATTCATTTATAGTGCAGAAGGGGTAGGACCATGGCCATTATGGAAGACTATAGAATATTACCAAAGGATGAAATCAAAGCACTAAAAGCAATCTGCAGATAGCATCCATTCTGGCCAGTCAAAACTGCTCTAGGCCAGCCATCTGCAATCATGAAGCAGGAGCACTAAATATCCTGCTTTCCTGTTCAGTTTGCATCCAAATGCAAAATATTGTTGGAGACTTTTTACCTTTGAGTGTTGTTGCATTTTGGGCACAGGGGCTAATACCTTGGAAAATTAAGTCCTGGTCCATTGGAGCCAAAGATAAGCTGTTTATTTCTAACTAATAATTCTCTACCGCAATATCATGATTTGGTACAAAGGATGTAGAAAGAGTTTAGAGTTGATTCATGGAATTGGGTGTGAGCACCATTATGGATTGACTTATAAAGAGATAGTCTTCTTGACTTGAGGAAAAAAAAACACTCACTGATCTTTCAGGATTTTTGTAAGGGTCAAAAAAGATAATTGAATAATAATTTAAAAGCTAGGATGTTAACCGAGTAAAAAGGTTAGCACAAAAATAGAACAAAAGAGACTGGCAAAAAGAACATGGAAAATATTAATAAAACAATATTTTATTGTAAATTTAATGCAATAAAACAACTTTATTATACAATTAGTACAATTGAAAAATATCTAAATACACACTATATGGTTGATCAATATTGAGGTTAAAGAAGGAGATTATAGAAAAGCCAGATTAATTATTTATTAGTGGCTTTGCTCAAAAAAAATCATAGTATAATATTTGGATATTTTAAGCAGATGGCCTTAACCACAGCTATATTTTTAATTTCTTATAATTCTCTAAGCTTCAATAAAACCAACGCAAAGGGCAATATGACTCCACCCAGTATTGATTAGTTGGTTTAAGCAACAGATGTCAGTCTTGAGGAGAAAACATACTCTAAAAGGAACACTTTTCACAGTCTTTCTGAACCCAACTAAGGCTCTGATCTTGCAGAACCCATCTATTGAAACAAGGCATGCCATGGTCCAGAAGGCTTTAGTCTCCATTTATGTGCCAAAATCCTTTTGCCACTCAGGGACAGGTCTCTCTACCTGAACATTGACTTCAGGAAGTGCATTCCCA